CTTCTTCTGCTCGGCCTCGAGTACCCGGCACATCTACCTCTTCAGGGTGTGGTACCGGCCTACCTGCTACTTGAGTGTTTCCCCGCTGCTTCAAGTGGTGCGGGCGTCTTCCCCCGCCACTTGAGTGTTTTCACCGCTGCCATCCTCAATGCCACGGCCAAAGGTAAGTACCGGCCCCGAGGGCCCAACGAACGAACAAGTGCCCTTGCGGGTCACACACACACTCAAGCCAACAAGCACTCAGACAGACATGCAGACCAGCAAGCGTGCACACACACAGACTTAGAGAACTTGGTAGCAAGCAGGAAACTCAGCAAGGCCTTCAGTCCATGAGCAAAACTCAGAAATCAGCTGTGTCTCAGTCCGTATTTGGTCGGGTCATCACATATCTATTTGTCGATGTATGTATGCACCTTTCTATACGTCCACACATCTGTCTGTGCATGTGCATCACCGACACATCAGAAAGTACAAAAGGCCAAGACCTACAAACGTGAACACAACAACACTTGCAACAATCAACACGAGAACACCCAACATGAGAATGAAAACCAAGGACATCATGGGCCGAAGTGCACCGGCCTTGCAACGGTCGCAGTCGGCCAAACTTTCAATGACAACGACTGTAGGACGACGACATCCACAAGAGCAACACAGGCACGGAGACCTTCGCAGCCCACGATGTGGCACTGAGTTGCACTCCACGCCTTCACGGTTTCTGACGACAACTGCCGAACGCTCCGTCACACGGGCTGTGCACATGTCAACACCCGACAACCAGGGGCGACGGACCTGCCACCCACCACCTCCCCGCCCGCTCAAAACTGCCTAACCGAATCCTTCGCCCCACCTTCCGGACCGAGCGTGCACACCATCGCCGATGTTCTCCCTAGGCCGGCCCAAAAAAGATGATGGGATGAAAGCCAGCACCTTCTCGCACAGTCTGCCCTCACGGAGGCTGTAAACACTCTGCGGCTGTGCCACGCGTGAATGTGTCTGCCACACCATGTTTGTGACACAATGCCTGGCCTGAGGGAGACCGAACGTTGGATTCGGGAGACGAAGCAGATGACCCCCCCACGACGTGCGTGCAACGTTCACGAACGACCCATAGATGGCTACGGAGGGTGGCATTCGTCGCAGTCTGCATGGGAACCGCGGAAGAAGGGCATCGGGTTCTGCATGCAGCCATCCTACGTGTTTGTTGTAGCGATACGGAGGCAGGCGATGAAAATTCGAAATCGCAGGGCCGTTGGGGCGCGGGAGAAATTCAAAACGAAAAATGATGAGGACCTCCCCACCCCACACGGTGCCACGGTCCCGGGCCCAACGGTCACCGTGCGACAACGCCCCTTGTCCGGCCTCAGGCACGCTGGACCAAACACTGGACCAGTACATGTCCGCTTTGCAGGCGCCCGACTTCCGAATGTGCCGGAGTATGCACCCAAGAGGTTGGTAAACGGGCCGACTTTTGGCAAACGGGAATTCAGGGCCATGTAGGAATAAGGGGGCCGCGGACCGAGTGGAAACGATCGCCCGACGACTTCTGCGACGGCGGCGAAGCCAAAATCTGTCTGTGGGGTCTTGGAAGTTTCCTCGCAACTTCCGAAACCGTTTGCCACTGTCCTGTGGGGTCCTACCCTAAAATTGGAACGATGTAGACAAGATAAGCATGGCGAAAAAAATAAATAAATAAATCTGTGTTAGTCCCCAGGCCGCCCGGCTGGGGAAAGGTCGTCCGGGTACCCTCCCGGGTGGACCGGACCGGGCAGGGTCCCGGGCGATCCCAGTGCTTTTTTTTTTTTTTTTTTTTTTTTTGACAACATCAGCAGGGTACAGCACCCATCAACCGGTATTAGGTTTGAAAACAATAAGCTTTCTACAATGGTCCAAGCGGTGATTGTTTTTGCTACCGTTGAACTGAGTAGTGATTTCCCTTGAGAGAGCGGGGTATAGGCTCTGGCGCTTTAAGAGTTACTAACTTTT